CAGAACAGTACCAGCTTGACTCGTGACCCAACGAGCCATCACTACTCTCCGGTTTGATGGGATGTTTTGTGTGTATAAAAGGTTAAATAAAGTTAAACGTCACAGTTACAGTACAGCACTTACGTGTTTTATTATCAACCCATTCCTAAGGGCCCATGGGTTATTTTTCTCTTTACTTTCTTTCTTGTTTTCTTTCAGTCCTGCAGCACATTCATTTTACTTTGTTGAGACACTCACTCCAGATGAAATATCTCCGTGTCTGTCAGTGATTGACGATTTCCACATTAGTGTCCGACACTTGACATGGGGACACCCCATCTCTTAATCTCTACATGCCTTAATCTTGCTATTTATTACATTTACGATGGCGATGTAACACCTGTCCCATTCACAAGGCGTGAGATTTTCTCCTGATAAAATTATGTTGTGAGAAAAGGTCAAAAATGAGAAAAATGTCGAGATCACAAGAAAACAAGAAATAAAAAATAATAATGCACGGCCTTTTAGGACTTCTGTAGTAATACAACTACAGCACAATTATAATTATCAAGTATAAAACTTTGATCAGAGGACATTAACCGTGTTTCCCACCTGAAACCTGCACCACTATATCTGACTTTTTATTTGAAATCATTTGAATGACACTCCCTTGAGATAAAAGAGGTGCATGTTTATCATTCTATATCATTTAAATCATTTTAATGCATCAGTTAAATGTGGAAAGTTTAGCCAAGCTGAAATGATTTGTTACTCCTGACACGTTAATAATATTGCCCCAATGTGATGTAAGGGTAAGTGCTCATTTCTTTCTGCTCAGAGTTTATCCATCTCATGGTTCAGTTCTTTTTTTTTTTGCACCTTTGAGAACATTAAGTATTTCTTTATACTCTGCTGTAGATCTGTTCAGAAATATATCTTTCTGCACCCAGTTTATTAGTCGGATGGTTTGTTCTTGGTCGATGAGATCCCATCTGCCGTATTTTTTCACAATGTCCTTAAATCCTCTCTTGTAGTAATCGTTCCTGTCCATGGCTGCAAGTCCAGAATCACACGCCCTGAAGTGATGAGGGACACCTGCGAATTAAATAGAACAGTGATCATTTGGATTAGTTCAGCCAGAGTAAAGAACTCACTAGTTTGTAGTCTTGGTTGTAGCGTACACACGTAAAACAAGTAGAAAGAGGACAACATCTAAAAACAGGCTCATTTCAGTCGTGTACGTTCATCTGTTGTAAATATAGGTATAACACGTACCGAGATCATTCCAGATGTGGTCCGAGCACTGAGGATGAGCCATCATTAAGGAGAGCTTCAGCGCTTTCTCTGTGTCTCCATTTGAGAAGGTTCTCATCAGGAAATGTCTGAGGAACATGAGAATGAAACATGCATGGATCAGTACTAAGAGAATAAATGATTGCAGTGCTAGAGACAAAACCAGGCGTTGAGATGAGATGAGACCTGCATGCTCTGGATTCAGCGCTGTTGCCGCTGCTCAGTACACGATGATCAGAGGACAGTGTGTTCATGCAAAGCTGCATTTTTCCATTCGGGTCATGTTTCATTTTCTTCATTAGGTAGAAAACTTCCTTGTTTGTTCTGTCTAATGAAGAAGAAATCTCTGGGTTGGTTTTGATGAGATGAAGGACTGCAGTCCATGTGCTTTTTGGTGGAATGTGTTGTTCCTCCACTACTCCTGCTGTGGGCTTCTCCATGTCTAAAAGGCTTCACAGTATTTCATACAAGATGAAGATTTATTATTGTCCGTAATTCACTAGATTTCATTCCTGTAGTGACTACAGGAACACATTTATGAAGAAATTTGGCTTTGTATGTTCAGACCTTTACATAAATTCAATAAGATCGCTAAAGCAAATGAGTATAAACAACATGAATTGAAAATTTACCACCTGTGGTCGCCCACTTTTCCAAGTTTGTACGCATCAATAATTTGTTTCGGTGTCTTGTCTTTGGTGAACTTGATGTACTGCTCCATATCACATTCCCTCACTCCAGCTTGGATTTTAAATTTATTCGAGTTGTTTGTCATGTTGAAAATGTTCTGGATCTTCACAGCATCTACATACTTATTTGGGTTTAAAAGAATCTGTAACAGAAACAAAACCAAGATCTTATGTTAAGTTATACTCAAATGGTGGGTAAAATGGTCTAGTTTATAGGATGTTAAAATGGGATCTGTACATGCTGGGAATTTCAATTCTTTATCTTATTAAAGACATTACACATTACTTTTCTCTCTTATCAGATCATAAGCAAATTTTATTAATGCTTGTCAGTTTGCAGTCTAATCCTAAATTTGGGGGGTTAATGGACATTTAATAATACATTATTAAAAGTCTTCCAATTTAATGATATATTATTAACCTGGCAATATAATTATTTATGAATAGACATAATGGTTACAAATAGAAATGGGAATACAGAACTAGCTTCATCGCTGATGTAAAGAATTGAAAGCTAATAGACGTAAATCTGGATGTGA